TCATTTCCCTTCTGCATGGTTTAGGATTCTAGAAAATACCGAACTTTCTAGATTCTACAATTGAATCAGGATTGGAAAATGGCTAAAATATTTAAAAAATCAGATCAGGAGTAGAAATGGTTGCTTATTTTCTGGATTAGCAGAGAAGTGATACTACACTAGTACTTATATGATACAAATTTAATTAAAAACAAAGAAAACATTAAATAGTTTCAGCTTGAAGACCACAAAGCTAGATCTGAAATGAGATCTGTGCGGAATAAACTCAAGCTTCCAAAACTGGTCATCTTTGCTTCAAAAGTTTATATAATCTTGAATTGAAGCTCGACAAACAGATTCTGGATGACATGTAGATTTCAAAAGTGCGCAAACAATGTGTGATGCTGCATTTTTTCCGAGCAAATTTATGGACCAATCAGTCAATAAATCAAAACATGGTGCAGAAAGTGGCGTTTCCTTAACAGCGAAACTTTCTATACAGTTGCTTCTAGGTCGTGACGCCCTTTCAATATCTTAGCAATCCATTATGCGTGCCATGGAGATAGAAAAACTACTGTGCTGTGAATTGAGAATGAAAAGCCACGTTAGTTTACTTAGCTCATTGAACCGCAATCCGGCTAGTTGCTTCGCCTTCCAGAGATCGTCGTACACTCTCCAGTCGCAAGAAGCGCGACTGTCTTCAACCCCGAGTCGTTGGACAATAAAACTCCTTCCGATTCACAAGTGCCAGCGAGAGATTGTACCGTTGACCAATGAATGCTCTATCTTAGCGATCCCGCATTTCCAGAAACCTCATGGTCGGCCAGCATTCAACATATTACCAACGCATTCTACCCGACCGTTTTTCATTTGATTGGAGCGCGATGTTTATGGCACCTATCTTACTCCATATGTCTGGAATCGCCTAAAATAGCTTACTGATCTCGTGAGGCCGTTGCACAACTAATACTTATAGAAGCTGAAAAAAATAATTTTAGGCCTTTTAAAGAAGCGAACAGATTCGCATGCATAAAGGGATGTTCAATCGTGCATGGACGTTACGGAATGTGTCAAAAAGAAAAGATGACAGACCGTTATGATTACAGCCGAATTGATTTACCAATCAAACACGATTGAACGATCAAACATGCTATAAAAAAATCGATACTCAAGTCCTCGTTTAAGTGCCGTACAACAAATAACTCTATAACTGCCACATTAGATTCATTCTGTAACAAACTGGGCCATTAATAAAAGAAACCTAGTCCGAACTGGTGCATCGTGAAGACGCAGTAAGCGCAAATGAAGACAAGTGAGACCAGTAAATACTTAGTTGCACTAAGGAAATTACAATTCACGAAAAATAGTCAAATTATGTACTCTCCAACATCAACGAATAAACCTCGCAGTAATCACTCCAGAACTGATCGCTTATGAAACTATTCCACTCCTAACGGCAAAGGTGACATGATCAAGAGAGAGCATTCACTCCCCTTCAGACTAAATTCAAGGACTATCGTACTTTTCCTGCTACTTCTAACTTAGTCATTCATACCTTTTATGCGCACGCAACCACGCTCATCCATGCCTGCATAAATGCGCTTGTATCAAAGCCGACAATATCTCCTCCTCGTTCGGCAAAGCACACTTAACAAAGAGGCCGAAACTGCAAATGGGGCGATTCGCGACTACGCAAGCATTTCAGACCATTTGCTCAAGAAGAGCTGTGACAATCAATGAGCATATCTGAGCAAACCACAAGCTATTTTGTGATTCCTTGAAACGAAAGTGATTCACAGGATGGACGCGCTGTTTACGTTACGCCGACTTGGTTAATACCTGAAAGGAATCATATCATATAGGCATGTTATGCATGCACATATTTGTATGTCTTTGCTGTGCAGACTGTATTTTAAATATCAGTGCGGTGAAAAAGCCGCAGCCAAGTGACTGGGAAGTGCATGGAAAGGGATTGGGATTGTCTCTATGAAGTAAGGTACATATATCTTTGAAAAGGAGAGGTGAGCATTAATGAGAAATACTAGAAGCAGTGCCGAGACTTGGAAACTAATTTAGCAAAGTCGTCACACATTGAGGCAAGTGGAACTCTCTTCCCTTATTACGAAAAACTCTTCTATAGCCTAGCATCAGGAGGAAAGAGTATGAAAAAATTATCAAATTCCGAAGACCATTCTAGTCAGCCTAATCGCGGATACGGCGAATGTGTCATACCTATAGTGCTTGTTTACTTGTTTCCAAATTCTCCGTTGAAGGTTTGATCTGACAGCAGTTAGAAAGATGTGTGAATGCCGGAATGACTGAGACGTGAAGACGCTCCCAAGATACGCAGTCTATGATGCCGATGAAGGGCAATTTCTTGAATCATGCAGCAGTGGATGAGTCGGGTAGTGTTGACGCCCTCATGAACACAAGTTCGGAGTGTGTATCCTTCTTTCGAATGACCGTCATCGAATCGGACGCTTACGTTTGAAGAGATTTAGATACTCACCAGATCCGATGATACCGCCGTTTACGCATCGACATCAAGCTCTAATGAAGACGTAGTCGAACTGGAGGAGGTTCTACTTTCTACTCAAGATCATTTTTACTCCAAAATTGAACTAAGAAGATGATTTGACAGAGCGGGACTTGCAATTTAAAAGAACGAATAGAGCGCGCTGTTGTCCGAGCTCATTATGTTAACCAAAACCTTCTATGGTAACTCAGAAATTTATAAGCATTACCACGAACAATAGATGTGGGAGTCTCCTGGTGGAAAGTGCATTAACAAAATAAACCGCATCTAAGTAGAAGATTGTTCTAAACCAACATCATTGTTGTTTCGAAATTTTACACGTGACCAGACCATCGTCGCCCTCACATGAGAGGCCTTTTTTTTTTGCTAAAAGGAGAGAAAATCGCATAGCTGAAGAGTCGAAACTCCAGAGCCACCGGAAATTAACTCAGACATCATTGGTCGGTTCCTGTGGAGACGCAATTATTGGCAATATGGACGAGGAAGACGACTCGCTTTTCAATATCTACACGCTATCGCTGTAGATGTTGAGAGTTTTGAAGTTACGAAGGGACGTTGTTCTTCAGAAACGCTCGGGCCGTACGCTGATGTAAAATCGCACAAGTCACAGACAATAGTCAAATTACATACGAACTTGAAAATTACAGCAGAAGGGCAATGAAAGAAGATGTCAGAGCGGAAAAAATAACAGTCTGAACTAAAGCTAGGGGCTTGGAAAAGCATCATAAACACTCGAGCTCTCCTGAATAGGAACAATAGGGGATAGGACGAAAAGCAAATATGTGAGTAAACACTTCTCCAAGAAAGATTAGCGTGATAGGTCAAATAACACGTTAACGGAGCTTATTGAGATGTTTGTCGTAAAAATTATAAAAGACTGCTTTCCCCATTTTCACTGACTAGAAAAAAATTTTCAGCTCAGCTCAAGCAAGTGCAGTCATAAGCAGCTTCGTACAATTAGAGCGCTCCTACTCAATATTCTTAATGAGCTATATGAAATTTCTACGAACAAAATATGCTCAATTCATTTTGGTGAAATATAGAGACATGCAATCAGAATGATGCCGTTCTTGCTTTCGAATAATCAAGACTGCTGAGTTTTGACACATCTGAAAAATTTTCACTTTTTTGAGTTTGCCAAGATTTGATTACCCCACACCATTATGATATCAAAGTAAGATTTTTGATGGGTTAAATTTTAGAAGTTTTGCAGTCATCTTTCTGCTGATAAATTGTTTTTTGCTCATGGTTAGTAGAACCAGCCAATTAGTTTACATCTGAGAGCAGTGTCTTATCCTCCATTTCATTATCGGTTTGAGTCATATCCTCTCTGCTGGGCAATACTCCGTGTTCCCCAGCGCCAGTCTGTGGCCATTCCTCCTGAATAATTATTGAAATGTAACTTTTACAAAAGTTTTAATCTGCGGAATTGCTAATGATTTGAGCCTATTAATCTTTACGCTCCACTTCCATGAGGATCACGGAAAAGGAAAATTGAGAAAACTCATAATACACCGTTCGTACCCATATTGAAATAACAAATAACATAACAATATCTGATCATCACAATGTCGTAACCCTTGCCATAATATTTGTTAAACTACGTTGGAATACATCCACAAAGATGCAAAAATTTGGTGCAAAACCCACAGCCCTAGATAAGTTTGGCATCAATCCCGTGATTCTTCTTACATTGTTTCGTTACTCTTCTCCCCTCTGCACCCAATTTCAGCCTTGTGTGAAGAAGTAGCTTGCTTTTCTTTAGTTTTCGTAATTTTTTAATGGCTTAAAAACTCAAGAATTTCAACGGTGTAGTTGTTTCTGAGGGAAACTTTTTTTGCTCCTCAGCAGTAACAATAGAATTAAGTTTCACAATCGGGCAGTTTCCGCTGCACACAGCTTTTCTTCTAGATTTTTGATAACCATTCGAAAATAGTAATCTTGGTAAATCCAATCCAGTACTATTTGGCCATGAGAGAACGAATGAAAAACCGATCTCATTCGCTAGAGAGGAAATTTTCCATAGAAGTGTTAGCGATTATTCGAAAGCTCAGACTTCAGACTACAGCCACAAGTCGTCGGTTTTTCGGAAAAGCCTTTTTTTGACGTCGCTACAAAAGGAGATTTCTTGTGTTGAAGAAGCGGTTGGTGTGGTGGATACCATGTGAGCGCCGATAAGGTTAATCGCACGTTGGAAACCTCTCTGAGGTTCCAAATTGTGCTCATGTTTTGGCAACTTTTTGATTGTTTTTAAACGGTAACATTTCTAGAAAGTTCCAAGGACTCTATGTAAAGGCTTGCTAGTGAGGCAGTGCTCGTTGCGCTTCTTCTCCCTCATGATCACCCATTAGTTAACGAAAGTGCAATTTTGTGCTTGAAGCTGAAGATCTTCACTAGAAGACCATATCCAACTCATTCTTGTCATGAAGTAACTTTTGAGAGAAAAGATGAAACTTAATAATATAGCATGGTGTGCAAAAACATTTGCGTCAGCTGGGATTCGAACCCAGATTTCACCCTATCCCGAGGCGCGTGGTGAACCGTTGCACAACCGACGCCCCGTTTTGACACCACTCTTTCTTCTCATCAACGCGATAGCTGTCAACAGCCAACCGTCTACGGTCTGGCGTGGGCAGTCATTCTTGACATTGAACCCACTTATGCTGACGGACATTGGGTTTCAATAATCAATCACAATTCTTTTGATTTGACAACCATTTGCAATGGTATGATGCTACAAACAACCTAATAATCCCACTCCGACATTATTTTGTTTATTGTAACATCATAAACCCACTCTTATTGAGTTTATTGTAACGTAATAAACCCATAACATCATAAACCACTCTACATTATTGGGTCTATTGTAACATCTACCACCGCAAAAGGCGGTCAAATAAATGAATTCTGATTGATTATTGAAACCCAATATCTGTCAGCATATGTGTCTTCAATGTCAATAGTGACTGCTCACGCCAAACCGTAGACGGTGTTTGACAGCTAACGCGTTGTAACGTGGAAAGAGTGGTATCAAAACGGGCGTCGGTAGTGCAATGGTTCACCACACCCTCCCGAATAGGATGAAATCTGGGTTCGAATCCCAGCTGACGCAAATGTTTCTGGCACACCACTCTATATTCTTGGGTTTATTGGATCATCATATCACCGCAATAGGCAGTCAAATAAAGTGAATTCTAAATGAAACCTAATTGTTGATTCTCTGAGATGGTAGTTATAGTAACTTGATTACTGCTCTAGATTGGACTATGCAACATCGGAATTGGCTTGCCTTCTGTGTCTTATCAACACCTTCATTCCCAAGCATTCCAGAAATTTTCAGCAATGATTGTGATGCTTCATCGTGTGGTACCTAGAAAGAAAACATTCTATAGAGACACTTTTTCATTGGTCCATTTAGTAAATTTCTTTGCATATTTTTGGACTATGCATAAGTTAAGTGAACGCCCAACTCATGCGAAAACCAGTGGTGCAGTGGTAAACAATTCGGAGCGGATGGTTTCTGTGATTGCAGAAACTACCTCCTAGAGCATGCCCTGAGCGTTCAATGACATGGAAAATAACATATATGATGAAGTAGATAAACGGAAGAGAACAGCATAGGCCACACTGGGCCTCTCAAAGAAGCCACCGACCATCTCAGTGACTCAAACTCAGTGCTCACCTTTTACACTCAACGGTCCCCAGCGCTCTGCTATGCAGCAGACACGTGGGCTGATACTTCGACCATGTCAAGACTGCTACGAACAACTCACAGAGCGGTCGAACGATGTGTTCTGAAATTTAGTCGGCGCACACAACATGTAGCCGGCTTGAGTAGCTCAGAACTCGAAGTCTATCCCATCATCTTAATCCAGAGGACTTATATCTATAGCCATAAACAGATGAGTCGGTCACATAGTAAGGCTGACAGATGGACGAAACGAAGTGTACAATGGATTCCACGACAATCTATGCGTCCCTCTAGGACGTCCACCTTCACGCTGGACGGGTGTCTTCGTAAAAAGAATTGATCAGCTGTACTTGCAGCTGCTGATATTTCTACAAGCCACGGTATGAGACCCGCACAAGCCGACATGCCCAATTAAACCACCACCATGGACGACCGTCGCGAGACAAAAAAACGGATGGAATATGTTCTGGGGTCTACTACAACTGGTAGACCGTTTGAGTATTCAAGTAAGTATCTTTAAGAAATAACTGCTCAATCTTTCGCATTTCACCATTTTTTAGGAAGAAATGGGTACTATTATATTACGCGGCGCCGCTTAGGCCTTCGGTAAAAAGCATAAGCTACATAACCACCTCATGCTCACAAACATCTACTTTCTCTAACTCTGATTCTGCAGTGTTCACATTACTTTCTGCTGTGAGAGTCACTCCCGAACGGTTCTTTCTTTAACTCCTCATTGTCGTCCACATGGACTCCTTTTCATTAGTTCATGAATGTAGTCTCATATTATGCCGTGAGAATGACTATGTACCAGACCCACAAAGGATTTTTGTAAGGTGACACTTTTTCCCACACCACTATTTCCCCACGTGATTATCATCGCTAGGATGAATTGGATGTAATGTGAATCAGTGTTTACTTTCACGGTGTCCATCTAAACCAGAAATAATGTGACGTTTCAAATTTGAGAGCGCGTCCTAAAGCATGCCTCTTTAAGGCCAAGACCAGAAAGCTACCGGTCTTTGTCTCTAGTCAAGATCATGTAAAGAACATTTTGTCGATAATGCTCTTCGTCTTACTTGAACGAACGGAAGCCCACAAATCAGCGATGACATTTCAGGCCTTCTAAGAAGTTTTGGCACTAAAGCAATAAACACAAAAATTTTCAACCAAAAGTGTTAAAAATCCTTAACAACACTATTAAAGTATGTGCCGTCAGCCTGAACATATTTCTGCCATTTCTTAGGCAACAAATCAATACAGCTTTGCGCAGAACTTTTGAAGCCTTTTTTTTTGGTACCACATTCCTCCATACTTGCGGCATTACGGCGCTCAACGAAGTCTTGCTCGTAATTTGCTGCTTCACGAGCACTAATTGGGGTTATGCTCATCATCTTTTGGTGACCGAACCAAACCGTTCAGTGGAATTTCCTGCAAGCCGGAGAGATGATCAACGTGAAGTGCTACTGTGAGCACCTGCGCCGCAGTGATCGAGCCCTCTCAACGTGGACTTTGTCGCAATCTCATCCTGCTTCAAAACAGCGCAAGGCTGCTTTTTACCAAATTTGCATACAGGAGCTTGAACGAACTGGACTAGGAGTTGCTCGATCATATGCCGTACAGTCCTCACTTGTCGGCGTCTGACTATCACCTCTTCCGCTCGCTAAATTTCCCGTACAGGAAAAGTTCCGAAACATCAATTACATGCGTCAAGGATTGGCAACTTGCTTGGAATCCAAGGATGACGGTTCTATGAGCGCGGTATTGACTCGTTCCATGAGAGATGACAGAGATGTGTTCAGGCTGTTGGCGCATACATTGAAGAGTGCTGCTAAGCAGTTTTTATTTATTTCTGGTTATAAATTTAGTGTTTATTGCTCTAATGCCAAAATTTAGTGAGAGGATCTATTAAAACAGGAAAAGTCGGGGTTTAAGAGCTCCGCTTGCTTTAGCAATAAATAACTACATTACGAAATGCAATCGTTAAAATGTGAATTATTCACACCTCTTCGCTGATGCTAATAAAAGTACAATCATTCTCCTCACTCTTCGTTACTCTTTATGTAATCAACTTGAATTTCGTCTTATTTTTGCATGCATTTTACTCTGTCAAATTTACGCTCTATATCGATTCACAATCAATTCATTGAATGGATTTTACTAGATACCCTCCTCATAACAGATGCTGGTCTGCGAGATCATCAATGGTGCCTTGGGTATTTGTTTGACATTTAATTCTATTTTGGAAGATATAACATGTTTTGAGCTATTAGGTCTAGTGATAACACAGCGCCTGTTTCGTCCTATTAGGACTCATCAGTAGCACCCTCCTTGGTTCAGCCAATCCTCTAAGGCTAACAATCCTCTATAGAGGAATCGACGCCGAGTAAAAGAATCTTCCCAAGTCAGATAATGGATATCCTGACACTGTGGTGACCGGCAGTCGCGCTTGTAGCTTTTACAAAGAATCATACCTCTCATTTCGACCGCTCTTTTATAGACCTCTCAAAATGACATATTCTGATAATATGGTAATGTCAGGTAATTCCATCATCTGACTGCGGTGATTTTGTACTCGGCGTCAATTCCTCAACTCTATTATACAGGATTTAGCTGCAGGAGATCAGTTGAACGAGGGAAGGGCTATATGATGAGTTACCAATAGGACGAAACGATCGCTTGTATAGCACTAATCTAACAGCTCAAAACATGTTATATCCTATCAGATTAATATCATTTTGAGCCAGTCTAAAATAGGCAGTACCGAAAGGAGGCTTTTTGGAAGCATTCTACGTATCCATTCTCCCTTGACTTTCGTGTTGACGGTCCATTATAAAATCCTAGATTTTTATCTCTTGCATTATTAACCGACTGTGTGACAATCCGTGTATAGATTTTTTTTCCGTTTGAGAACTCTCTTATCATATCGTCAGAGATGATTGATCCGTCTTATACAAGAAAAGGCCATGATGCGATTAGTCGAGCTGGCTCTTTAAATGGTGAGAGGAAAGCAGCAGATATGAGGGGTAGATAGACTAGATTTCAGTGTCGATCATCGTTTTCATAAAAACATCAAAATGAGTGCGAAATAGTACCTTATACACTTTCAGTCGTACTCGTGGCATGAACAAACAATGATGATATAGAAGTATGCCAATCAGAAGACGATCATCTCAGCAACGTAAACTGTTTACAGCAACAATCTTGAGAGAATTTCACTTTTATTTTAAGGTTCTAGCAGTATTATGACGCTTTAAGTATTGACAAGGATGCTAAGTCCACTGCTCTGTTACCACTCTTTTCTCGACTATGAGTTCACCGTAGCTGCAGGATTCTTGTAAATAAACTAAGTTTACTACCGATGTGTGCTCACCCACAAATTCTTTGGATGCTTCGTTGTTGACGGGATGAGCTCCTGCGTAGTCTCACTCCGCTGGTTTATTCTCTTGTGACAGCCCGTGACGGATCTAGACCAGTCTTTTTTCTCGGTCACCTGCTGTTGTTTCTAAATTTAGTACTGCGGTTTTTGTTCTGACGCTGAAGGTAGCCTTTTACTTATAGCCGCGAGCCCGCGACTAATTTGTTATTTATGTTACAGAGTTGAGGCTTTATGTCAAGGA